AAGGCTCCCTCTCAGCAGCAGGGTAGCTGCTGCCTGCACAGGCAGATAAGTGCTGCCTTGTTTTCTCCCCAGGGACAGTCTGATGATTTTCATCTGCCCACTCTCTGGCATCACCAGAGCCTCTGGCATTTGGGATGCGCTGGGGACTCCTCAGCACTCGCAGTCCAACTCTTGTTCCCAGCTGATGAAGCAGAATAGTTACTTTTTAGTGACTCTGTTTTCCCATAAAAATCTTTTTCTTTCACCATGCATTGCCTAATGCTAGAGAGATCTATATTTGTGGCTGCATTCCTAATTTAAGTAAGAATTGAGCATTCCTTTGTTATTGCAGTGCATTTACTCTGTCCGCATAAAACAAACTGTCACCCTTACGCAGTTCATTTGCTGTGCGCCAACACCACACTGTATTAAAGTTGGAGATTCAGATGTGTAAGCTCTTACATGCATCATATGGGCCAATCAACCTGTACTGGGTGACAAGCTGCAGACTGCATTGAATACTAGGCAGGAGCCCTGCGGGAGTTCACCCCAGGCACGTCCTAAGGAGGCCACGTTCTGCACTGCCTGGTCTCTTGAAAATGCAGGGCTTAGTTATTGCAAAGTTCACAGTCCTGTGGGCAAAAACAGATGCAAAAGCTTCAGACTGCAGATCAAGCCTCTTCTTAGGTTGCTTATTCTTGACAGGTTGGTTATGTTGCCTCTGATGGGAGGAACACGAGTGTTTACATTTCATCAATATGGTAGTGCGAGACCCACACATGGCAGTTTATGGTTCACAGAAGGTAAAGCAAATGCGTTTTATTTGGGCTGGTAGTCAAATTTTTACCATTTTAGATCACGTTCTGTAGATGATACGGTATCTGAAGGCAGATCCTCAGCTGGTATAATCCGCACCTCCCCTGCAGTCAGCGGAGCAATACAGCTGTGTAAGATCTGTGCTTACTCCAGAACATTCACAGCCTAACAGTTCTTGATGGCCACCAAAAGCGCAGACTCCAATACATAAGAAAATGGTATTACTGCAGTCACTTCAAACCTCTTACATTTTCCGTCTCAACTGAGTCCTTTGCCTTCAAGTCTGACAGCAACAGAGTAAAAATCTGTGTTCCAAAGCTCACCTCTTGTTGCTGAAACACTGCACTACAAATTAAGTTTGCTTCACATTAATGAAAGTGATTCTTTGTACTAGAGACTGCTTTATCATTAGTTTACAATTGTGTTAATTAGAAATAACATCTCTGACCCTCTCGTACCTTCAGCTTAATGCCGTGATTTCAATGAGTGTAAAAGCTCTGTATGTAAGCATAGCTTGTACTCACAAGCAGTTGGCACACACGTAGGGAACAAAGCAGGACTGAGAACAAAGGAGACTGTTAAAACTCTACAGTTTAGCAATCAGTAAAAATCCTGTATGATACACCTCTTTATACACACGAGCTCCTGAGCTTAGCAAACAGGACTACTATAGGATATTTAACTATAATAGAAACTAAAGACACTGCTTAAAAAAAAAAAAAACCCTCGCCTAAGGCTTCTTCCTCGCCTATCTCAAAAAATATTTTCGAGACTCATTTCTTTGGACAGCACATGGAAGAGTCCTGCACATGATTTAGGACATGGCAAAACAATGTCTTGAGTGGGCAATAACTGATTTACTTACATTATGTTTCAACAGGACAAGAGCTTGCAAGCACACCCTTGCTGTCCACCTACCACATAACATTATCAGGAAACTACATGCAAGAGAAATGAGATAGAAATAGCAACAACCAGTAGTACCTGCCTTACAATGCTGCTTAGGTAATAGCAAAGAAGTATGAGAGCTGTGGGCATTTTTATTTTTGTACCTACTGTAAGTTGAGAGAAACCTACCATTTAGTAAATAATTGCTGTTTAAAAAAAAAAAAGCCATCCCAGACAGGAAACAACACACCAACAGAAGTAGTTTTTATACTTCAAATTTCTCTACCCACAAAAGTGAGCAAATAAGTAAAAGCAACACTTTAATAAAGATTTAGATTCATGCTAAAGCTTCTCATACAAGTTACAGTTTTTATTCTATCTCAGTAGTTTTGGTAAACTTACCTTCTTTCTGGTGTAAAGTTTTAGACAGCCATTTACTGAAGTCTCTTCAATAGCCACAACTGGTATTACACACCTTTTCCCATGCCACCTGCAGCCAACGTGTAAGTAGCAGCAATCAAAAGCATTAATACAGTAAACTATTCAGATCAAAAACATTCTGACTGACTACTGCTGCAGTCATAGGCTACAGTAATTAGCTAACTGAGCTTACCTTTTAATAAGAAACATTTTTTCCCAGTATAAACATTCCTGACTTCAGATATTTTTAGTTGTAAATATTTTATTCTAAGCTGTAAGTCTTTGCCAATCTTCATTCAAGAACACCGGAAACAAAATGTAG